CAACACTCCTCTTGTGTATAATTAGTAGCACGTTTATTTTTTTCCCTTCCATAATAACAAACTAACCAAACTTTTTCACGACAGACAAGGTTTGTCAATGTTATATGTACATGTAATAAATAAATAATAAATAATACATGTAACCCGTACATTGTAATACAGTACAAACTAACTTATCGGCCAGATAACGCTATCGGGAAGTTTATCGGCATATTGTACAACCGGCCCTTAGTTTAATAATTCGTTGTAAAACATCATTTTTGTAAAACTTTGTTTACATTTTAACTACCGATTAGTTAATCGGACGCTTAAAGTATGATTGTAAAACCGGGCCTAAAAGGGAAACGTTTAAATAAACTTTTGTTTTTGCAAAGTCTTCCAAAAGAACATTGGAAATAGGACGTAATACCGAAATTTCTGTAATTGTGGATGATTTTTATTTTATTTGTACTTTTTGTAATAATAAAGGTTTGCTTGAAAAGTCGTTTTTTATTGGTTANTATAATTGTAATAAATTATTGTGTTTAATTTGAATAAACATCTGTGTAAAAAAATATTTTTTAAAAAACATCCCATAGTTTTTAACATTAAGCGATTTTTTTTAATTTTCTCAAATTTTTATTTGGTTTTTACACTAAGTGTATTTACCAAGCAATATTAGCGCATTTAAAAAAAAATCCCATATAAAAAAAATCCGAGTAGACAGATAAGTAGATAAAATAATAGTCCGAGTACAGTGTACTCACATAAGGACATTTTAACTGCCGATTAGTTAATCGGACGCTTAAACTATGATTGTACACCGGCCCTAAAAGGGAAATCTTTAAATAAACTTTTGTTTTTGCAAAGTCTTCCAAAAGAACATTGGAAATAGGACGTAATACCGAAATTTCTGTAATTGTGGATGATTTTTATTTTATTTGTAGTTTTTGTAATAATAAAGGTTTGTTTGAAAAGTCATTTTTTTATTGGTTACAGTGTTACAGTTAAAAAGTACATGTGGGTGCAGAATTTGCACCCACATGAGATAAATAAATAAATAATAACATAAAAACATTAAGAAAATTTTAAACCAAAATAAATTCAAAACACACAACGGATTGTAAACGGAAATAGTCGATCAAGAAAAATCGAAGTGATTCGTAATGAAAACCATGTCGCCTTCTTGAATAAGTAATGACCCTAGGTCGTACCGTGTACGCGCTTTTGTACCGCCCCTAACCCTTTTGACCCTTACCTTTTATCCAACTTTAGGTTTCATTTTTGTTGTGTTGTGTTTCGTTGCAAACAAAACTGACGAAACATGTAAAACGCGCATGTGTTACGACTTTTTTAACACGCTAATGCGAACAGTTACTCCTAGTACATTGCTCTTTTTACACTTAAACTAAAAGGTTTTATTGCGGCTTTATTACATTTTTCAATTTAATTATAATTAACCCAAAACAAAAAATTTCGTAATAATAAAATTGATTTAAATTAGTTGTATTTATTTAAAATAAAGTTTTTATTGTTAAATAATTTATTTCTTATTAAAAACGAATGTTTCGCGTGGTAAAAATCTAAAAATGTATTTAAATTTATTGATTTATCCTCGACCTTGTATATAGAACCGAGAATAACAACAACATATGTGCATTCTGTACATTAAAAATTTAATGTTGGAAAGAGAAAACGTGTAATAAAATGGGTTGTAGTGCTTCTAAAAATTTAACAGTTGAGCTTCAAGGTGATTTGAAAACTGCTGGTTGTCATTCAGTTGTCAACAACGATCTTAATCAATTGGAGGTAAGGAAAAATTCGGTTCCGAGAAGAGCTTCGGATGTTCCACCAGTAGAAAGCGTTGAACCGCAAACGGAAATGCTTCAGGAGAATAACGAATTGGGTACTTGCACTAATGTTCAACAATCGAGTAAGATATTTTTTAATTTATTACATCTTTTGTCAAAAAATATAACAACTGTAAATCAAAATAAATTTTTTTTCGGGAAAAAAATAATTTAAAATTTTTAGATAACGGATTATCATTTGAGGTACCAATGTTGAAAGAATCTGAATCGATTATAAAGAAACATCCACCGAGGAGGTTTCAAAAATTGGAGGAACAACAAACGAGTCCATCATTAAGTCTCGTTAAGTTACGAGAAAAACTTGATGAAGCTGAGATAAGGAGACAACAAGTAAGATTTTTTCTTTGTTTTCGTTTGACAATTTCTTTAATAATTTTTTTTTTAAAGTTTCAATAATATTATCTTATAGTTTTCATATCATATCATAAACTAGAATTTTTAAGCTACAATTCAACATACATATCATATCAACATTCATAGAAATACAGTCGTTATGTGATTTTCTTGAAAATTTCGTACTAGTTTTGATTTACAATTTAACAATTTTTTCCTGGAAATTTCAATAACATTATCTTATAGTTTTCATATCATATCACAAACTAGAATCTTTAAGCTTCAATTTAACACAGATATCATATTATGATCATAAGAAATACAGTCGTTACGATTTTTTGAAAATTTCGTATTACTTTTGATTTATAAATTTGACAATTTCTTTAAAAATTTTTTCCTGGAAATTTCAATAACATTACCTTATAGTTTTCATATCATAAACTAGAATCATTAAGCTTCAATTTAACATACACGTCATATCATGACCCTTCAAAATACGGTTGATATAATTTTTTTACAATCATATTAATTTATTAATTTAACATTTCTTCTTTTATAATTTGTTCCTGGAAATTTCAATAATATTATCTTATAGTTTTCATATCATATCATAAACTAGGATCTTTAAGCTACAGTTCAACATACATATCATATCAATATTCATAAGAATACTTTCATTATGATTTTTTGAAAATTTCGTACTAGTTTTGATTTATAAATTTGACAATTTCTTTTGCAATGATTTTTTCCTGGAAATTTCAATAACATCACCTTATAGTTTTCATATCATACCATAAATTAGAATCATTAAGCTACAATTCGACATACATATCATATCGATATTCATAAAAATACAGTTGTGATGATTTTTTGAAAATGTCGTATTAGTTTTGATTTATAAATTTGACAATTTCTTCTTTAATGATTTTTTCCTGGAAATTTCAATATCATTACCTTATAGTTTTCATATCATATCATAAACTAGAATCATTAAGCTTCAATTTAACATACACGTCATATCATGACCCTTCAAAATACAGGTGATATGATTTTTTGACAATCATATTAATTTATTAATTTCACAATTCTTCTTTTATTATTTTTCCTGGAAATTTCAATAATATTATCTTATAGTTTTCATATCATATCATAAACTAGAATCATTAAGCTTCAATTTAACATACACGTCATATCATGACCCTTCAAAATACGGGTGATATGATTTTTTTTACAATCATTAATTTATTAATTTAACATTTCTACTTTTATAATTTGTATCTGGAAATTTCAATAATATTATCTTATAGTTTTCATATCATATCATAAACTACAATCTTTAAACTACGATTCAACATACATATCATATCAATATTCATAAAAATACCGTTGTTATGATTTTTTGAAAATTTCGTATTAGTTTTGATTTATAGATTTGACAATTTCCTCTTTAATATTTTTTTCCTGGAAATTTCAATAACATTACCTTATAGTTTTCATATCATATCATAAACTAGAATCATTAAGCTTCAATTTAACATACATGTCATATCATAACACTTCAAAATACTGTTGATATGATTTTTTGACAATCATATTAATTTGATATTTCTTCTTTTATAATTTTTTTCTGGAAATTTCAATAATATTATCTTAAAGTTTGCATGTCATATCATAAACTAGAAGCTTTAAGCTATAATTCAACATACATATCATATCAATATTCATAAAAATATAGTTATGATTTTTTTGAAAATTTTGTATTAGTTTTGATTTATAAATTTGACAATTTCTTCTTTAATAATTTTTTCTTGAAAATTTCAATAACAGTACCTTATAGTTTTCATATCATATCATAAACTAGCATCATTAAGCTTCAATTTAACATACACGTCATATCATGATCCTTCAAGATACGGTTGATATGATTTTTTTACAATCATATTAATTTAACATTTCTTCTTTTATAATTTGTTCCTGGTAATTTCTATGATATGATCTTATAGTTTTCATATCATATCATAAACTAGAATCGTTAAGCTACAATTCGACATACATTCATATCAATATTCATAATAATACTTTCATTATGATTTTTTGAAAATTTCTTACTAGTTTTGATTTATAAATTTAACAATTTCCTTTGCAATGATTTTTCCTGAAAATTTCAATAACATCACCTTATAGTTTTCATATCATACCATAAATTAGAATCATTAAGCTACAATGCGACATACATATCATATCGATATTCATAAAAATACAGCTGTGATGATTTTTTGAAAATTTCGTATTAGTTTTGATTTATAAATTTGACAATTTCTTTATCAATATTTTTTTCCTGGAAATTTCGATAACATTACTTTATAGTTTTCATATCATATCATAAACTAGAATCATTAAGCTTTAATTTAACATACACTTCATATCATGACCCTTCAAAATACTGTTGATATGATTTTTTGACAATCATATTAATTTATTAATTTGATATTTCTTCTTTTATAATTTTTTTCTGGAAATTTCAATAATATTATCTTATAGTTTGCATGTCATATGAGATAAATAAATAAATAATAATATAAAAANAAACACTTCGTTTAAACAGTTCCCGTGCGGTTATTATAAACATTTCGAAAAAATTTTATTAGAAAGATCGCTTCAGAATAATGTATTCTACAACCGTATAATGCTCTGATGCGGAAGATACGGGACACGCTGTATATATCAATATTTGTCAATTTATTTTTACAAATATTAAAAAAATTCGTTATGATTTTTTTGACAATTTCGTGCTAGTTTTGATTTATAAATTTGACATTTTCTTTTTCAATAATTTTTTCCTGGAAATTTCAATAACATTACCTTATAGTTTTAATATCATATCACAAACTAGAATCTTTAAACTTGAATTTAACATACATATCATATTATGATCATAAGAAATAGTCGTTACGATTTTTTTTAAATTTCGTATTGTTTTCACTTATAAATTTGACAATTTCTTCGTTAATAATTTTTTTCTAAAAATTTCAATAACATTACCATATAGTTTTCATATCATATCATAAACTAGAATTATTAAGCTTCAATTTAACATACACGTCATATCATGACCCTTCAAAATACGGTTAATATGATTTTTTGACAATCATATTAATTTATTAATTTCACATTTCTTCTTTTATAATTTTTTCCTGGAAATTTCAATAATATTATCTTGTTGTTTTCATATCATATCATAAACTAGAATCATTAAGCTACAATTCAACATACATATCATATCAATATTCATAAAAATACAGTAGTTATGATTTTTTGAAAATTTCGTATTAGTTTTGATTTATAAATTTGACAATTCCTTCTTTAATAATTTTTTCCTGAAAATTTCAATAACATTACCTTATAGTTTTCATATCATATCATAAACTAGAATCATTAAGCTTCAATTTAACATATACGTCATATTATGACCCTTCAAAATACGGTTGATATGATTTTTTGACAATCATCTAAATTTATTAATGTGACATTTCTTCTTTTATAATTTTTTCCTGGAAATTTCAATAATATTATTTTATAGTTTGCATGTCATGTCATAAACTAGAATCATTAAGCTACAATTCAACATACATATCATATCAATATTTATAAGAATACTTTCATTATGATTTTTTGAAAATTTCGTACTAGTTTCCATTTATAAATTTGACAATTTCTTTTTCAATGATTTTTTTCTGGTAATTTCAATAATATCACATTATAGTTTTCATATCATGTCATAAACTAGAATCATTAAGCTACAATTCAACATACATATCATATCAATATTCATAAAAATACAGTCGTTATGATTTTTTGAAAATTTCGTATTAGTTTTGATTTATAAATTTGACAATTTCTTCTTTAATAATTTTTTCCTGAAAATTTCAATAATATTACCTTATAGTTTTCATATCATATCACAAACTAGCATCATTAAGCTACAATTCAACATACATATCATATCAAGATTCATAAAAATACAGTCGTTATGATTTCTTGAAAATTTCGTTTTATTTTCGATTTATAAATTTGACAATTTCCTCTTTAATATTTTTTTCCTGGAAATTTCAATAACATTACCTTATAGTTTTCATATCATATCATAAACTAGAATCATTAAGCTTCAATTTAAGACAAACATCATATCATGACCCTTCAAAATATGGTTGATTTCTGTTTTGACAATCATATTAATTTGATATTTCTTCTTTTATAATTTTTTCCTGGAAATTTCAATAATATTATCTTATAGTTTACATGTCATATCATAAACTAGAAGCTTTAAGCTATAATTCAACATACATATATCATGACCCTTCAAAATATGGTTAATATGATGTTTTGACAATCATATTAATTTATTAATTTGATATTTCTTCTTTTATAATTTTTTCCTGAAAATTTCAATAATATTACCTTATAGTTTTCATATCATATCATAAACTAGAATCATTAAGCTTCAATTTAACATACATGTCATATCATGACCCTTCAAAATACTGTTGATATGATTTTTTGACAATCATATTAATTTATTAATTTAATATTTCTTCTTTTATAATTTTTTTCTGGAAATTTCAATAATATTATCTTATAGTTTGCATGTCATGTCATAAACTAGAAGCTTTAAGCTATAATTCAACATACATATCATATCAATATTCATAAAAATACAGTAGTTATGATTTTTTGAAAATTTCGTATTAGTTTTGATTTATAAATTTGACAATTTCTTCTTTAATAATTTTTTCCTGAAAATTTCAATAATATTACCTTATAGTTTTCATATCATATCATAAACTAGAATCATTAAGCTTCAATTTAACATACATGTCATATCATGACCCTTCAAAATACTGTTGATATGATTTTTTGACAATCATATTAATTTATTAATTTGATATTTCTTCTTTTATAATTTTTTTCTGGAAATTTCAATAATATTATCTTATAGTTTGCATGTCATATCATAAACTAGAAGCTTTAAGCTATAATTCAACATACATATCATATCAATATTCATAAAAATACAGTAGTTATGTTTTTTTTGAAAATTTTGTATTAGTTTTGATTTATAAATTTGACAATTTCTTTTTTAATAACTTTTTCTTGAAAATTTCAATAACAGTACCTTATAGTTTTCATATCATATCATAAACTAGCATCATTAAGCTTCAATTTAACATACATGTCATATCATGACTCGTCAAAATACTGTTGATATGATTTTTTGATAATCATATTAATTTATTAATCTGATATTTCTTCTTTTATAATTTTTTTCTGGAAATTTCAATAATATTATCTTAAAGTTTGCATGTCATATCATAAACTAGAAGCTTTAAGCTACAATTCAACATACATATCATATCAATATTCATAAGAATACTTTCATTATGATTTTTTGAAAATTTCGTACTAGTTTTCATTTATAAATTTGACAATTTCTTTTTCAATGATTTTTTCCTGGATATTACAATAACATTACCTTATAGTTTTCATATCATATCATAAACTAGAATCATTAAGCTACAATTCAACATACATATCATATCAATATTCATAAAAATACAGTCGTTATGATTTTTTGAAAATTTCGTATTAGTTTTGATTTATAAATTTGACAATTTCTTCATTAAGAATTTTTTCCTGAAAATTTTAATAACATTACCTCATAGTTTTCATATCATATCATAAACTAGACTCATTAAGCTTCAATTTAAGATACACATCATATCATGATCCTTCAAAATAGGGTTGATATGATGTTTTGACAATCATATTAATTTATTAATTTAATATTTCTTCTTTTATAATATTTTTCTGGAAATTTCAGTAATATTATCTTATAGTTTGCATGTCATGTCATAAACTAGAAGCTTTAAGCTATAATTCAACATACATATCATATCAATATTCATAAAAATACAGTCGTTATGATTTTTTGAAAATTTCGTATTAGTTTTGATTTATAAATTTGACAATTTCTACATTAATAATTTTTTCCTGAAAATTTCAATAATATTACCTTATAGTTTTCATATCATATCATCAACTAGAATCATTAAGCTTCAATTTAACATACATATCATATCATGACCCTTCAAAATACGGTTGATATGATTTTTTGACAATCATATTAATTTATTAATTTGACATTTCTTCTTTTATAATTTTTTCGTGGAAATTTCAATAATATTATCTTATAGTTTGCATGTCATATCATAAACTAGAAGCTTTAAGCTATAATTCAACATACATATCATATCAATATTCATAAAAATAGAGTAGTTATGTTTTTTGAAAATTTGGTATTAGTTTTGATTTATAAATTTGACAATTTCTTTTTTAATAATTTTTTCTTGAAAATTTCAATAACAGTACCTTATAGTTTGCATATCATATCACAAACTAGCATCATTAAGCTACAATTCAACATATATATCATATCAAGATTCATAAAAATACAGTCGTTATGATTTCTTGAAAATTGCGTACCAGTTTTGATTTATAAATTTGACAATTTCTTTTTCAATGATTTTTTTTTCCTGGAAATTTCAATAACATCACCTTACATCACCATATCATATCAATATTCACAAAAATACAGTTGTTATGATTTTTTGAAAATTTTGTATTAGTTTTGTTTTATAAATTTGACAATTTCTTCTTTCAATGATTTTTTTTTCCTGGAAATTTCAATAACATCACCTTACATTACCATATCATATCAATATTCACAAAAATACAGTTGTTATGATTTTTTGAAAATTTTGTATTAGTTTTGTTTTATAAATTTGACAATTTCTTCTTTAATGATTTTTTCTTGGAAATTTCAATAACATTACCTTATAATTTTCATATCATATCATAAACTAGAATCATTAAGCTTCAATTTAACATACATGTCATATCATGACCCTTCAAAATACAGTCGTTATGATTTCTTGAAAATTGCGTACCAGTTTTGATTTATAAATTTGACAATTTCTTTTTCAATGTTTTTTTTCCTGGATATTTCAATAACATCACCTTACATTACCATATCATATCAATATTCACAAAAATACAGTTGTTATGATTTTTTGAAAATTTTGTATTAGTTTTGTTTTATAAATTTGACAATTTCTTCTTTAATGATTTTTTCTTCGAAATTTCAATAACATTACCTTATAATTTTCATATCATATCACAAACTAGAATCATTAAGCTTCAATTTAACATACATGTCATATCATGACCCTTCAAAATACGGTTGATATGATTTTTTGACAACAATATTAATTTATTAATTTGATATTTCTTCTTTTATAATTTTTTTCTGGAAATTTCAATAATATTATTTTAAAGTTTGCATGTCATATCATAAACTAGAAGCTGTAAGCTATAATTCAACATACATATCATATCAATATTCATAAAAATACAGTCGTTATGATTCTTTTGAAAATTTTGTATTAGTTTTATAAATTTGACAATTTCTTCTTTAATAATTTTTTCTTGAAAATTTCAATAACAGTACCTTATAGTTTTCTTATCATATCATAAACTAGAATCATTAAGCTTCAATTTAACATACACGTCATATTATGACCCTGCAAAATACGGTTGATATGATTTTTTGACTATCATATTAATTTATTAATTTGATATTTCTTCTTTTATAATTTATTCCTGGAAATTTCAATAATATTATCTTATAGTTTTCATATCATATAAACTAGAATCATTAAGCTACAATTCAACATACATATCATATCAATATTCATAAGAATACTTTCATTATGATTTTTTGAAAATTTCGTACTAGTTTTCATTTATAAATTTGACAATTTCTATTTCAATGATTTCTTCCTGGATATTACAATAACATCACCTTATAGTTTTCATATCATATCATAAACTAGAATCATTAAGCTACAATTTAACATACATATCATATCAATTTTCATAAAAATACAGTAAAAAATACAGTATTACTTTTAATTTATAAATTGGACAATTTTTGTATTATAATTTTTTTCCTGGAAATTTCAATAATATTATCTTATAGTTTTCATATCATATCATAAACTAGAATCTTTAAACTACAATTCAACATACATATCATATCAATATTCATAATAATATAGTCGTGATGATTTTTTGAAAATTTCGTATTAGTTTTGATTTATAAATTTGACTATTTCTTATTTAATAACTTTTTCCTAAAAATTTCAATAACATTACCTTATAGTTTTTATATCACATCATAAACTAGAATCTTTAAGTTACAATTCAACATACATATATCAATATTCATAAAAATGCAGTCGTTATGATTTTTGAAAATATCGTATTCTGATAAAATTTATAAATTAACACATTTCTTCTTTAATAGTTTTTTCTTAAATATTTCAATCATATTAACTTATATTTTTCATATCATATCATAAACTACAATCTTTAAGCGACAAATTAACATACACATCATATCAAAATTTACACTCGATATGATTTCAAAGATAATTTGAATTTTTTTGAATTAGATTCTGCAACAAAGAGTACAATCAGCAAAGACTCGTTACGCCTCACGAAGTAAAGGAAATAAGTCAAATGATGAAGATGATGATGATGATTACACCGATGATGGCCTTCTGAAAGTTCCACCGGATGTACCAGCGATTTCTAATCCTTACGACGTTTCCTACTTATAATACATAAATCACCCGTCATAAACAAAAACACCTCGAATCAATACAAAATCGAAAGAAATATGTTTAAATATTATCTTATATATTGTTAAAGTAATCAATGAGGTGGTTATAAGATGGAAATTGTATGTTAGTTATTTTGCTAAAAGCCCAATTTATTATTCATTAAACAAACAAGGTGGTTATTACTTGCTTACGTATGGAGGCAAAAATCAATATTGGGCTATTTTTTGTTTTATTATTTACAATTTTTAATTATTATTATTATATGTAACAGCTATTATTATTTAATTATTGTTATTATTGATTTTATTTAATTATTTTACACCTTACTGATTACTTTAAAAAAATCAATCTAAATCATGTGTGATATTTATAATCAAGTAGTGTCTTCTTTTTATAATAAATCAATCTTTAATCGAGTTGTTTTTAATTAATCACCTTATTTACCTCGAAGATGGCATTGTTGAGGTGCTCTTGGTTTGTTCAAAGTTTTGACGTTCCATGTTTTTATTGCGTAGGCAATCTTTTATGTTTCATTTCATAACCGTCTCTTTCTTCAGATTTCCATAAATCTGTATTGTCATGTGAGAATCCCGGAGTGACATCTAATCTGAAAATCGTAACACTGAATTAGGTAAGTTAAATCTAATATAGCAACTCTATTATTACATACTTTTTGCAGAAATTTCCACTTAAATTTGTTATTTCTTCATTGTAACCGACACCAAAAAGAAAATTACTGTTGATTCGATCAAAAAGTTCATGGTAAAGTTTACCAAAAACATTATATTTGTAACCATATGAAACACAGTTAATTTTACCATATGTCCGAACAGTCGTGGTGCACTTTTAACCGATTATAGGAAAGAAACAAAGCAAGATAGAAATAATGTGAAATATTCACCAAATAAAAGGAAAGCAGTCCAAGTATTCGTAATACAGAGAATTACAGAAGTTACACTATGCTACCGATATAGAAGAGTCTATTAATATATTATTAAGAAAAAAGCAATATTATTAAGAATAATGTTTGCTGCAACTTTTGTTCTAAAAGTTTTTTTGTAATATGCTCAACAAATTCATCCAATTTTCATATTTACGTATTTTTCTCGATATTGACGTATCTAAAAGCAAAAGTGCAAGAGAGCAATATTGTTAAAAATAAAATTAGCAACATTTTTTGTTTTAAAAGTTTTTTTATAATATACTTCGTTTCCCAAATGATACCATTAACAATTTGAAGAAGAAACACATTCATCTAATTTTCATATTTTCGTATTTTTCTCGATGTTGACACATCTATACGCAAAAGTGCAAGTAAGCAATATTGTTAAGAATAAAATTTGCAACAACTATTGTACCAAAAGTTTATTTCTAACATGCTCCGTTTGCCAAGTGATACCATTAATAACTTGGACAAGCAACAAATTCATCCAATTTTCATATTTTCGTATTTTTCTCAATATTGACGCATCTAAAAGCCAAAGTGCAAGAGAGCAATATTGTTAAGAATAAAATTTGCAACAACTATTGTTCCCAAAGTATATTTCTAACATGCTCCGTTTCCCAAGTGATACCATTAATAACTTGGACAAGCAACAAATTCATCCAATTTTCATATTTTCGTATTTTTCTCAATATTGACGCATCTAAAAGCAAAAGTGCAAGAGAGCAATATTGTTAAGTATAATATTTGCAACAACTATTGTTCCAAAAGTTTTTTTATAACATGTTCCGTTTCCCAAGTGATACCATTAATAACTTGAAAATGTAACAAATTCATCTATTTTTCATATTTTCGTATTGTTCTCAATATTGACGCATCTAAAAGCAAAAGTGCAAGAGAGCAGTATTGTTAAGCATAAAATTTGCTACATCTTTTGTTCTAAAAGTTTTTTTAATATACACTTCGTTTCCCAAGTGATACCATTAACAATTTGAAGAAGAAACACATTCATTCAATTTTTATATTTTCGTATTTTTCTCGATATTGACGCATCTAAAAGCAAAAGTGCTAGTAAGCAATATTGTTAACAATAATATTTGCAACAACTATTGTTCCAAAGGTTTTTTTATAACATGCTCTGTTTCCGAAGTGATACCATTAATAACTTGAAATTGTAACAAATACATCTAATTTCCATATTTTCGTATTGTTCTCGATATTGACGCATCTAAAAGCAAAAGTGCAAGAGAGCAATATTGTTAAGAATAAAATTTGCTACATCTTTTGTTTTAAAAGTTTTTTTATAATATACTTCGTTTCCCAAGTGATACCATGAATAACTTGAAAATGTAACAAATTCATCTAATTTTCATATTATCGTATTGTTTTCGATATTGACGTATCTAAAAGCAAAAGTGCAAGAGAGCAATATTGTTAAGAATAAAATTTGCTACATCTTTTGTTTTAAAAGTTTTCTTATAATATACTTCGTTTCCCGAATGCTACCATTAACAATTTGAAGAAGAAACACATTCACCTAATTTTCATATTTTCGTATTTTTCTCGATATTGACGCATCTATACTGCCCTATTAAGCATAAGAGTCGTATCTGTATATTTAGAAGTTTCGAGAAAATGCGAAAAATGTGTTTATCTTTCTACCATCCTAAGTACTATTACTCAGCAAGTCGAAGTTAACAAAATCTACTTACGTAGAATAATAACTAATGAAATACAGTGTAACTTAAACAACATTTTGTAATTGTAACTAAAGACAAAAACATGTTTGTAGCTAATAAATTCGTAGCAATAGTGTGTTAACCGCAATTTTTAGTAATGTGTTATTCATCATCCTTTATTGGATTTTTGGAAACGGGCTAATTATTCCAAATGCTCATTCTGGTAATGTTAATAGTTCCACGAAGACGGTTTATAAGTGTGTTCTTTCTATTTTGACTTATGCCGCGAAAGGTAGTTTTGCATTTAGGCCTTTCAAAACCATTTTTTTCCCTCCCCAATAAATTTTTTTTGTATTTTCTTCCTATTGGAACAATAGTTTCATTGAATGCTATGATACGAGGTACGAAAAATCACCTCCTTGAACATTTCGCACCGCGGAAGCATAATGACCTAAAAAAAATAACTAGCAGGAAGAAAATATAAAAGATAATATATATTTTATCTTTTGAAGATCTGCTGAGCATGCCAGTGTATTGGGATTATTAGCGTTACTGTCAATTTGATATTGTTGTCGAGCAGAATTTGCCATTTCGGTATTCTTATTCCAAGAATCACACTCAGCGCAGATATTTTCTAAATGTTGGAATCATGATCAGTGCTTCTTTCATGATTTTTGAATGTTGCGCAAGCAAAGCACTCTTCGTGTCCAAGTGCAACAAATGAAATATTCATTTTACTGACTACTTCTCTATATAAATAATAAGAAAAATTGATAGTTGGATGTTTTGCCTTGAAGTTATTGTACATTATCACTATGGTGATATCACTTGGAAGGTATCTTCTATTAGGAGCGTGCTCCCTCCTGTAATGAGAAATTGCAGGATTGAACGACTCTATATGCTGTCTGATTATAGAACGATTTATCTGTTTCGATGAACTAGAGCGACCTTTTATGTATTTTTCTGCCTGCGACGCAGCAGAAGAGAATGCATTTCGAATATTTCAATCATTGTTAGGCAAATATCCAAGAGTGGCAAAAAAAATATTTTACATACTACCTGTATTGTAACACTATCTTTGAGTCTGTAGGTAAAACTCATTGACCGACGAGTCGTGAATTTAAAAAAAATCTTTCTTTTCGTATTTTTCTTTTCTGTCATATTTAACACAAAAGTTTTTTGTTCAAAATCCGTTAATTGCCAAAGTTTTAAATGTAATTTGCACGTTGTTCTTTTGAAATCTTTTTATTACACAATTTTCTGCAATTATTTCCACATGGATCTTTCATTAAATGCTGGTTTTTCTTGTTTTCTAATTTTTGTTTTTTTTTTACTTTCTAATGACGTACTGAATCATCTGCGTTTTTAGGGCTATCCTGTTTTTGTATACAGGGTGATTCACATAAGAACCGACACAGAGCAGGGACATTGTTGTTTCAGAGGAAGAAATCGTAAAATCTGGATTATCATTTTTTTCCCGATTTTTTTTAAATTGTATTTGGGCGTGTTTCCCTTTAAATTCCTTTAATTTATTGGCAGCCCTTTATTTATTTTTTTTTTGGTAACTGCAAGATTCGCGTAGGTCTATTAATATTAACATTCATTATTGCATAAAAATAATCCTTATGTTACTAAGAAATTACGGGTGTCATATTCTTCACTTCATATGCTATTGACCAGTTATACCTAGTACTTACTTAGCATGATAACAAACTTTATTACCTTTTTCCCAGCTCCACGTTAAGTAGAGATATGTCAAGTCTATTTATCACTTCAACAATAACTTAAGACAATTTACTTATTACAAAAGTAACATACATAGGTACTAAATTATTTGCACAACTAAATAAATACTTTTTTAAGGTTACATTTAACTGTCATATTGCGCGCCTAAGCTGTTGTTATAGCGATTTGTAAAAATATCGTATGTGCGTATGTTAATTTTATACCAAGTTTATACATCGTTTTTGAACTGCACATACGACATATAGACTTAAAAATAGGCAGTTTGAACACTTTTTGCTTAACAAAACAATAATAATTTCACATACCTACGACAAATTAATAACATGTTTTTGTGAGTAGTTATGAAAGCTCTACGACTTGACACTACAAATACACGTAAAACCTTGACATGATGTGATATACCCGAAAAACTCAAAATCTGCAAAAGATACGACCCTTATTCTAAACAAGGCAGTATAGACAAAAGTGAAAGTAAGCAATATTATTAAGAATAAAATTTGCAACAACCATTGTTCCAAAAGTTTTTTTATAAAATGCTCCGTTTTCTAAGTATTTTTCTCGATATTGACGCATCTATAAGCAAAAGTGCAAGTAAGCAATATTGTTAAGAATAATATTTGCAACAACTTCACAAGTAACAAATTCATCTAATTTTCATATTGTTCTCGATATTGATGCATCTATAAGCAAAAGTGCAAGTAAGCAATATTGTTAAGAAGAAAATTTGCAACAACTATTGTTCCAAAAGTTTATTTCTAACATGCTCCGTTTCCCAAGTGATACCATTAATAACTTGAAAATGTAACAAATTTATCTATTTTTCATATTTTCGTATTGTTCTCGATATTGACGCATCTAAAAGCAAACGTGCAAGAGAGCAATATTGTTAAGAATAAAATT